TTTTCAAGGAGTATGTTCAGCTAACTATGCCAAGGTTTTACACGGTGGTTGCATATGGCTGACTTTCAGATTTTCCAATCTTTCTGACTAGATCTATTTCAGAACCATGCAAGTGATGATCAAAGAAAAAATTCTAGAAGTTTCCAAGGAGTTTCGCTAAAATCATAAAATTCAAGAGCTTTTCAAGTGTCCTTGAAAACGTGAATTAAATTCAAGGAGTTTTCAAGGAGTTTAAGGAGTAGCACGAACCCTGATGACACCTCAGTTTTGCAGAGAAGTCATTTCTATTTCACTATTTCAGATCAGCTGGTTGTTCTTGCAATATTGCATCTTATTTATTCAAAATAAAGAACACATTCATCTGTTTGTCTGACTCCTGACCAATATGTGTGCCAGATTGCATAAATGTTCCTTGCGACCTATAAAGTAAATCAAATATCTGTAATAGCATTGTATTAGAATGATAGAAATTGGTCAATGTCTTACCTGAAAGTAAGTGTGATTTCTGGGTTACTCCCAGTAACCCTTACAGTCCACACACAAAACAAGTTAGGTCGGTATTGGCTGGGATGGCCTGGAGAAGAGAAGGAACCTGTCTTGCTAGTGTAGTGTGAGCCACAGTTAATATCTGCAGAATGTATCAAAGGAACTAAATTTACAACTTTAATCAAAACTGAAGGTCATGAGTAATGAGATTGATGACAGGATTAAATATTCTCATAGTAAGTCAAAATGATGGCATTTGTCATGCATTTGTCAAGATACCAGTGGTGACTGTTACCTAGAAAGGCATATCACATGGCATCCTTTTGAGGTCTTAACTTATCTTTTATTCTTATCATTTTTCAAGTTCAAGACGCTAAAGGTGACTTATCATCCTATTCAACCCCCCCTAGATCTTAATTACCCTTGGATCCCCAAGTTTTCAGCTATTTTCATCACTATCTGGCTATAGGGCCCAGTTGTACAAAGGTTGGATAGCGCTATCCATCTGATAAATCCTATCAAGTGGATAAATTTATTGGATAACTGCATTGACTTATCCACTGGATAAGTATTTATTCATTGGATAGCACAATCCATTCTTGGTACAACTGGGCCCTGGATGTCCAGTTCTACATTACCTTGACAATAAGTCCTTTGAGCCAAGTACAATGAGAAACCTTCAAAATGAAAAATTTAAGAAATTGATAAATATAAACCACTTCCAAATGATGTAACAATAATGATGTGTGGTTATATTAGTAGATCAATAGAAAAATAAGCCATCTTTCTTATATCTACATTTATAAGTATTTGCAAGTGCATTCACCATGGGGAACTCAACAGGTGTAGATGAAACAAGTTGAAAAGCTGAACTTGGTTAACATAATACCCAGTAATTTATCTTGAACAAAAGTAAGACAGAATAATCTGACGTTAAAGTTAAACAGAACGATTCTCCAAGACTTTTGTTAGATACAGGAAATATTCAAAACAGCCAACATAATCAGTGAAGCGAGAGTATGCGTGACGACTGTTCATTTTAGCTGAATTTTTTTCATTCACCTGTTTTTTTTGTACAATTTACATTTCAATATTTTAATTTTCTTGTACGTGCTTTCGAGTCAAATCCTGCATTCAAAGGAGACATTCAACAAACAAATAAATCGAATATCATTCAGCTGTTGCATATTTGTTGTCTATTCATGCAAATAGTGTTTAAATTCATAAAGTAAATATGGATCGATTCGTCTGTAACTCACCAGCAAATAAGATGAACCAAGGAGAATCCATGTTGTAATCTTGATTCAAACCACATCAAATTATTTTAATAAAGCTGATCTTGAATTTAGACACATTGTTCTGAGTGTTGGCGGAGATTCAACGCTGAACAATCCCCATATTCCTTTACGTCAATAATTCATAAACAGCAAGTGCCAAAATCGACACCGAAAAAAGGAGATGTCGTTAAGTCGTATACGAGACGGCAAGCAGTAATATTCACCTTATTTTGAGAGGATTTGATGAGTCTTTAGCATCAAGTATTTTCAATCAAATCGATGCGTAAATGACAAGGTGCACGACAAACAAGAAACATCGTATTTCAACAAACCGTCTGTCCTGATTCACACCATATCTTTATCACCAAACTTTCCGGTGTATAACGTAAAGGATGGTGCACTCCGATCGTTAATAAACGTCGGTTAAGTGGATCAAAATCACAAGCAAAAGCAAGAAAATAATATTAAAAATCGTTTAAAATGCGATGATGATGTATTCCAGAACCTCTCTGACGCAGTCCCTCTCGGTTAACAACAAGGCTATATTTGGGCTCCCTGTGTCTTATTTGTTTTTAACGATTTTTACAAAGTAAACCTTTGTACAGAAAATTGAATTTAATATTCCAACAAACTAAATAATTTATCTTAATAATCTTTGAATTATGATAAACGTTTTTAAATTTCTTCTCGTATCAACAAAGCTATCTTTCTCGTTAATAGTTTATTATTCTTACAGAGAAATTTGTAAAAAAAAGGCAAAATAGTTTGTATTTTCTTATCGGCATTATCATCTCATGTAAGAATTAATTTTTTTAGGTTAAGAATCAATGAGGAAGAATTAAGAATTCCCGCGGGATTCCCGCAGGAATGTAACGGGATGTTCGCGGGATGGGACATCGCATGGATTGGTTGTTGTCAAGCAAACGAAATGTAATTCATCTTGTCAAGCATTTTTAACTTTTTTAACCGTTTCTTTTGCTATTATAAGACTTAACTACACCCTGAACACAAAGTTAAACTCTGCAAGAATAACTTGGTAAGTTTGTCAAGCGAAATAATGTTGTTTTAATGAGAATTTTCGATTAATTTTGGTAATTTGTCGATGGGACACACATCTTATGATCCTGTATCGTCTGATTATAATTCATTTATTTGACCTCTACTAAGCTTTACTTTAACCGTATTTCATGTCAAAGAGAACCAATGAAACCCAAAGAGAATTACCTCCTTTTCAAGGGGTAATATTACCTGATTCAACAAGTGAAAATATTATTTCTACTCGACGAGACGACAAACAAGGACTTCACAGTTCGGTATGGTCGAAAATAAGTGAAGAAGTTCTGTAAAGAAAGATGATTTCTGCCGGGAATTAGAAACCAATGGCTACGGTCGCTAAACAGGACTCTAAAACAGACCTTACAGAAATAAATAATAATGTTGAAAGCCAGGAAAAAATTGTGAATCGAGTTGGAAGTGCAGGAAGTAACACAACATGGCGTCTTGTTCTTCTTTCTTCCAAAATACGACAATCTTCTGTGTTATCATCAGCTACCAGGTCTGGAGTTCGTATTTTATCCTATAAATATGACAGCACAACACTAGAATCTCTTCTTGCTCAAGTTCAACAAACTCTGGGTGAAAAAAGAGTTGAGAGTATTGGGTTTATTGCCAATGGTCAACAAGGAACATTGCAGTTATGTGCAAATGGAGATCAAGTACGTATATTTATTGAAACAATACTTTATCTTCTTTTATGTTTCTTATTTATTTATGATTTATAATTGAAGAATCAAAATAATCTTTTTGGATTAGTTTTTAAAGTTTCGTGTGATAATCATTAATGATCATTGTCAGGTATGAATGTACATATATGTTGATCAGCATAATGAATACTTATCTATCCATACCTGTGTTTATATTTCTGCAGTAAATGTTTTTTGTTATTTCAAGAGCCTTTTAAAAGTTTTGTACTAAGAAATAATTTTTATTGTTATTTACCCCTACTTTAATCAAAAAAATCATCTTGCTAGCATTTGCTTAGAAACGGAAAGATGAAATTCAATTCTGGGAAAGGAAAAAATGATTATGTGGTTGAGTAAAGCTTCCTTGTTTTTTGTGTAACTTCCTCAGCTTTCTGCTTTTTATCTCAGCCTAAAGGCAATAGCTCTAACTGTTTTCATTATCTTCAACAAGACAATAGATAACAGTTGAATACATTAGTGAGATCTAACATGAACATCTTTGGTGGTTGATTATGCTAGAGGTTCTCCAGTGTTATGATGTGGATGGATCTTATCCATTAACTATATAAGATAAAAAGTCAATAAAAACTAAAAAAACTAGAGAATAAAAACTCATGATCCAAATTTTCAAACCTGTTTGAGAGTAGTATAATATTAATATTAGTATAATAAGAATATTTTTTATTATGGTAATGTCCGTAGCTGTCCTAACTCATCCCACAAGATCTTTAATCTAGTAATATTTAATTTATATTATGTATTAATTATATAAAGTATATTTTAAAGTCCAATTGACAATTTAACATCAATGACACTACTAAATGAACTGGTTTTAGGTTTGCTGTAGAAGGTTATTAAACAGTACATAGTGCTATATATGTATGATGGCCAAAACGTAGATAAATTTCTTGAACCAGTCAGAAGTTGCCAGTTTTCTCTTCCTATACATATACAATTTGTATATCAAGAGAACAGACTGTTGAATTCCTTAGAATACTTCTACTGGAAGTCATCGCTGGTCCATCATCCATACATATTCAAGTTTTTTTGTTTATATATATATATATATATATGTATATAGCTAGGTTGTTGACAGGAAATACTATTGTATAGCAGCTGTATTTATTTTTAGAACTTCATTTTCATATAGTCATCATATAGGAGTATTACTCTTGTTTATCTTAATTCAATTTTCTCTTGACGCAATGATTAGTAACATTAATTAAGACTTGTCTGACTCCCAAGATTTTCCTTCAACACCATCTCATGTTTTCAGTATTTGAAGGTTCAAGTCTCTATTTTTTTAGAATTCTATTGAGGAACATGTGGTAAAGTTTCAGGCTTGTTATATAAACATGTATATTAAAGTGTTGCATCAATTGACTATTCATTGTTACTATAGCGAGGGATAATGTATACACTTAACTGAAAAAACGTAGTTGGGTTCGAGAAGGTCATATCATCAAGTAGGGTATATGGGAATCAAGGGTGTCGTAGTATTAGTGCACTTTAGAGAAGGGGTTTGTTAGGGCTCTTTCTTGTTTTACATGTAAGGGCTTTCAACAGGTTCTCTGGTTTCCTCCTTTCACAAGATCTACGATTAAGACAAATTCCAATTTGATCTGTAAGTTGGATGTGCCCAGCTCAGAGGTTTTGTAAGGGTTTGATCTGTGTGTTAGCCATGCCTTGACTTGATCAGCCCAGAGGTTGTTTCAGGGTTCAATCTGTGAGTTAGCCATGCCCTGACTTGATCAGCCCAGAGGTTGTTTCAGGGTTCTATCTGTGAGTTAGCCATGCCCTGACTTAGATCAGCCCAGAGGTTGTTTCAGGGTTCCATCTGTGAGTTAGCTGTGCCCTGACTTAGATCAGCCCAGAGGTTGTTTCAGGGTTCAATCTGTGAGTTAGCCATGCCCTGACTTAGATCAGCCCAGAGATTGTTTAAGGGTTTGATCTGTGAGTTAGCCATGCCCTGACTTAGATCAGTCCAGAGGTTGTTTCAGAGTATTGATAAAATTTGAAGCATTTTTGAATGTTGAAGGTACAATTTAAATATTAATCACATCATATCAATGAAACTATAGTATTCTAGATTATTAACTAAGTGTAATTAATGATTTCAATTGTATTACCTGACGTATGGCTTATTGATAAATAATGCTTTGTCATAACATTTTCCAGGTAATCTCACTTCGAACCCTCAAAGAGCAAGGAGACATTAGGAACTTTTTCACCCAGATAGTGAGTACTTGTCTTGATAGCACGTCATCAGGAGCAGGGCTGGATTTCCTGGCCTGTCCACTGGCACAGAGCAGTGATGTTATACAAGTACTGGACTTGCTGGAGAATCTGACCAAGGTAATATAGATGAGGTCGTGAGGAACACTATCACTTATTTATGTGTCCTGGATACTCTTTAACTCATCAGCCAACTGTAATGGTATGGTATGTTCGTTGCCACTAAATTATTACTTGCTTGTTACCATGGTAATTAGGTAAACATCTTGATATTTTAAGAATGTAGTGTACATTATATAGAGGATATTACATGGGCGCGCAGAGATACGAATTTTATCTTCGAGTGTTCAATTGATATCTCATGAATGAGTGCAGTGAATGAGTGAGATATCTAAATTGAACACGAGAAGATAAAATTCGTATCTCCAAGCAGCCATGCAATGTTCTGTTTATTATATAGATATCGATGAAACTTAAATAAAACAAAAGCTTAAAAATTCTTTATTAAAATACGTTACCATGTCAACAGTGATATCTTCACGTGTGAAAGATATGGTATCTTCCACTGTCAAAAGATATCATGTTTTCGACCCTAGAGAAAACCTGGTATTTCATCGATATCTATATAACAAATATATACATCAATATGTACTGATGTATTTATTATTTTAGGTGTCTGTTGGTATGACAAAAGAGTTGATGGGTGCTGATGTAAGAAGCAATCCCAACAACAATGATGATAATACTAGGTGAGACAGATACTTGCTTGAAATCATTGCTTGCAGTCATTACAAGACATTACTCAGATTATAGAGTGGGGTGCATACTTCCCAAACCTGGTATTTTCAGTAGTGAGTAGAGTTTCATCTTGATTCTCTTCTATTTCTCTGGTTATAGCCTTGAGTATTATTTCTTTCTTTACTAGGAATGCTTTTCAGCTATGGTGCAATGTTTTCCCATTGCAGACCATGTGTCATTCTCTTAGCTTGAAAATAAGATTCTTTATTTGAATCGTATTCATATTCATGTGTCTTCCTATACACCACTGTCAAACAAAGAAATGATACTCTAGAGAATAACATGTGGTCTGAAATGGGAAAACATTGCACCCATTGAAGTGGACTTGATCCATTCAGTTTTGTTAGTGGAATAAGATCTACTCTAAATTATTGATTGTATTGAATGTATTTGTTGTTGTGACAGTTCCTTCCCAGGTGATTTATACTTTAAGAGTGAAAAGATGAGAGGATGGTCAGGGGCACAACCACAGAGTATCAGCAACTTTGAAAAAATTAAAACTGTAGGAAAAGGTAATAGAATAATGTATAATAAATATGATTGTTTGAGAAAGCTGTAATTGATAGCCTCCACACTCCGCACTCCGTACTCCGCACTCCGCACTCCTCGCTCCACACTCCACACATTTATTGTTTTACACACACAACTCTCAACTCACGTTAATTTTTGAGGAGGGAGGAAAATGGGAGTAAAACTCTCATGGCATGGGAGAAAACAGAGGATACAATAGTGATATAATATGACTTACATATAACTATATTTTCACTTGTGATAACAGGTGCATATGGAGCAGCAGTGCTGTACAGGAAGAAAGATGATGACTCACTTGTTATACTAAAAGAGATTACCCTACATGATTTAAATGCTGTTGAACGGCAGATGGCTATGAATGAGGTATGTCATCCTCACATCCTTTCTTCCTCCCTTCTTTCATTGTCTTTATTTCATTGCTTAACTCTCCACTTCAAATCACTATTACTTTGACTGTGCACTTTCTCTTCACTTTTAATTTCATTTATTTTTTCTCATATTTTTTCTCTCATTTGCTTTCATTCCTTCTTTTTCATTTTTCTTACTTCAAACTTCTTTGTATTCATATTCTGTTTCTCTTTTAATCCCCTTGCCCCTCTATCTATCTTCTTTGCATATATTTTTATTATTAATTCTTGTATTTGCTTCATTCAGGCCAAGGTTTTATCCAAGCTTAGTCTCCACCCTAATATAATTAGTTACTATGATAGCTTTGAGGTAGATGGTACCCTGATGATAGAGATGGAATATGCTGATGGAGGGTAGGTCACACTATACTTGACTTTTTAGACATTATTACTTTGTCAGAGTAAAAGCTGAGAAAAAGCCTTTTACTCCAAGGAAGAACAAACATCTGCATGTCAATATTGTTTTGAACGTTTTTCTATGTATTCAATACACCAACACAGTCCCAACTAGTAACCACTAGTCATTCTTATTCACTTGTTGTATTCAACACGCTAACACAGTCCCAACTAGCAACCACTAGTCATTCTTATTCACTTGTTATATTCAACACACCAACACAGTCACAACTAGTAACCACTAGTCATTCTTACTCACTTGTTATATTCAACACACCAACACAGTCCGAACTAGTAACCACTAGTCATTCTTATTCACTTGTTGTATTCAACACATCAACGCTGTTCCAACTAGTAACCACTAGTCATTCTTATTCACTTGTTGTATTCAACACACCAACACAGTCCCAGCTAGTGATTATCAGATGATTGATTGACTGGCTGTTTTGATTGACAGGTCATTAGATCAGTACTTGATGCGTCTGGACAAAGACATGGATGAAAAAGACATTTTGATAATGTTTCAGCAAATGCTGTCTGCCTTGAAGTATATCCATGACAACAATATTTTACACAGGTAACCATAGCAACTCTTGAATAGTGCCTGTTTAACTTAACATTTTTGCTTTAATCATCATAATGGATGTGAAAGATTATCCAAGATGATACTTGTTAATGTTAATATAACATTTTCAGGGACTTGAAGACAGCCAATATATTTCTAACAAAAGACACAGTTGTAAAGTTGGGTGATTTTGGTATCAGTAAACAACTTGAAGGGTCCAAAGCCAACACAGTCTTGGGGACACCTTACTACATCTCTCCTGAAATGGTGAGTGATGGCATGCAATTAAGGTGAAGGATCAGTGTAGCAGTTTTTTAAGGGTTTGATCTGTGAGTTAGCTATGCCCTGAATTAGGTCAGCCCAGAGATTGTTTCAGGGTTTGATCTGTGAGTTAGCCATACCCTGACTTAGATCAGCCAAGACATTTCAAGGTTGGATATTTGAGTTAGCTCCTGACTTAGATCTGTTCAAAGGCTGTTTGAGGGCTAGCTCATGTCTTTAAACAGGACCACCTGGTTTCCCTGTTTATATTCATTGTATTGTTTATATGTGTTATCCAGTGTGAAGGCAAGGATTACAATCAAAAGAGTGATGTATGGGCTCTTGGCTGTATTCTCTATGAAATGGCCTCAAGACAGAAGACATTTGAAGGGTCCAACCTTCCAGCATTAGTCAACAAGATCATGAAGGTAGTGTATGTCAAACCAATTGACATTCTCTGACCAACAAGGTGCATTTTTGGTCTAGCTTGGGTACAAATGACACCATACTAATGCACCATGTTCATGGTCTTACAATTGGCCTATAACAAATCTTTATTTTTTCTTTTTTTGTTTGTTTGTTTGTGTTTTTTTTGTGTGCTGGTTGGAGGTTAGAAAGGATGCAAGTTAAGGGATATCTTTATCCATTTTTTCTCCCATTTTTTCTCCCATTCATTTCCCATTCATTTCCCCCTCATTCTCATCTTCTTAATTTTGATATTTTGCAGGGTCAATTTGCACCAATAAGAGGCAACTATACTCCAGAATTTAGAAACCTGGTTAGTACTGTGACAATATTCCGGTCAGGGGTGGGGTTGCAGGAGGGGGGACAGGGGTGGGGACCATTAGTGACCTCTTGTTAATTACATTACTTAAGACAGGCATCTGGGATCAATTTTATGTTATTTATGCTGTGGGGGAAGGTGTGGGGTTCACTTTGAATGGTTATATCCCAGATTTGAAGGGGTGTGTGTGTGTGAAGGAGAGGGGAGGGGAGGGGCATGTGTGAAGGAGAGGGGAGGGGGGTGTGTGTGAAGGAGAGGGGTGGGAAGGGGGGTGTGTGTGTGTGTGTGTGTGAAGGGGAGGGGAGGGGAGGGGGTGTGTGTTCAAATAGGTTACATTGTATATTATGTGTCTTAATGGGATCATCCAAACTCTCCTGGCTTCCATGATTACTGGGGAATGTTTTCTTTTTGTAAAAAAAAACAACATTCTCACACACCACTGGGAGCTATTGACTTCTTTATTTCTGAATAACTCAACATATGCATTACTGTAATACATCATTCTTATCATCGCAACGTGGTTTCCATGAAAAACTACTCTAAAGTCCTTCCAGCAATGCTGGCCTAGGTTTGGGGGGGGAGGGGGGTACTGTGGGGCTAACTAACAGTCATGGCAGACAGCGAAAAAGCAACTGATGAAAACACTGACCACGTGACTAATATCCCTCGGCCCAGGCTCCAGTGGTGTGAGAAGACATTTTCCACTTATTTCGTTCCTCAGCCAGTGGAAAATACTACTTTTATTAAAAAAAACAGTAATGTTATTTAGTAGTCATAAGAAAAAAAATATCAACTTTGTGTTAAATACTCAAGATAACTGACATAACAATGATTAACACAATGAAAGTATTAACTACTTCCATAACTCGAAAATGCTTTACTCAAATGAATGAAGAAATATTTCTCCATCCAAGTATTCACTCCATGTCACTCCATGTAGCTAGACGTGAAGTATTTCCAAATGTTGAGGAGAATAGCAGTATAGTGCATATCTATTTTATTATAAGAAAAAGTATTGCATGAAGAACTAATTAGGTATACTTTAATGACATGATTGTTATCTTTGTATTAATCCAGCCAAGTGCTAATGCGTTATGCAGTCAATTACGTGTTCTTTTGTATACTATTTATAGTGTCAATTGTGTTTAGTAATACCTAATCCTTACATTAACGTCATCAGGTTGTCCATATTAGGCATTGACTATTGTTTGGTGCAATATACCAGACCTTACAACACCCGGCTATGCTTCACATTAACGTCTCTTTTTAATTTGCTTGGGCATCTTGCCATTATTAACTTTCTGGACTCGTGACATGTGTGAAAACGTTATAATTATATTCAAAACTGGTTGATAAAGACACCCAGAACCTGCCTCCTTACCGCTATAACCGCTATATAAATTATCTGGCTTATTTTTGGGCTATTTTCTTCTTGATCTTAAATTTTTGAGTCGAGGGTATGAGAGCAATTTTAAGTGTTTATTTTAACGATATAAATGTGAAGATAACTGATTAAGAATTCATCGGAGATCGGTATGGTAAAAACAAACACCTGTTCTGAACTAGAACCAGCGGTAAAACAGACTCGTCTTTATTCTAGTCCTGTCCTAGTAACCTGTATTCGTAGCTGGTGATGTACGAGGTTCTGTAGTGACTGATTGGTGACGGTATTAATGTTTACTTATGTGATTGTAAAATGGTCGCTCAGTTTATCCATCCTATGAAGAAACTTCAATGGATCGACGAAATTAGTTCTTTACACCAACAAGTAAGTTGCTCTGTGAAGCTTTAAATTTCGTTTTGGCTTTCGTATCCTAATACGGATGAACAGACAGATGAGTAGTGTTTAGAATGATAGATGTCTATGTAAAGGAATCAATATTAGGCTAAAGAAATAGTTTGGTTTATCGGTCCAGATATAGGATGTTTGTTACATAATACTTTCACTTCATACCGTTGGACCTATACTGCCAAAAAAAAAACCGGGTTACAAATAACGAAAACTGAATGGAATAAGTTGATAGATTGAATGACGGATCTCAGTATTGGTTGAGCCTGCGTGTATGCGGTAACAGAGTTTTTAACCGGTAAAAAATTGTACGTTTACAGAGGACAGCTATCCGAACAAAAATTCGTACACCTAGCCGTGCAAATTTGGACCCGGTTCCCCGTAAACAGAACGTATTTCTTATACATTTAAAGAGACGGTTCTGCGTGAACGGTATGTACAGGTCAATTTTTTGACTGGTTGAAAATTCGTCCGGTACCGTGTAAACACAGCTTGAAATGAAACACTTGACACTTGAGTTTTAGGCCAAGTGTTTTCCACTTTCGGTACAGTGGGTTAGAATAGAATATGATTTACAAAGAGAAGAGTTGCTGATCAGATGTAATATATTGTACTAAGTAGTTCCTAGTCTAGCACTAGTTCGAGTCAAGACGCTGATCATCAATGAATTTTCAAAGGATTGAAGACTTGAACTGTTAAAATTATTACTTATTTTTCGATCAATGCTGGTTTTGATTTCTTTCCTCAGTAGAAGCCAGTTCTCTCTTGCTTGTTATCAAACTTAGCCAGGGCCTTCCCCACCCCACCCTACCCCACCCCACCCCACCCCACCCCACCCCACCCCACTCCCTAGGGTTAGGGTTAGGGTTAGGCCTAAGCCAGTGCTCTATTGCGTGTGAGTAAGAGTAATTTTTTTTTGTTTGTAATGAGACAGAGTCAGGGTCTTCCCCACCCCACCCCATCCCCTAGTAGCCAGTGCTCTATTGCTTATGATGAGACAGAGTCAGGTTCTTCTCTTGGTATGTATCTAGTTATCAGTATGATGGGCCCCCACCCCACCCTCCTTGATTCATGCCATCAAGAAATAAATAGAAGCAAAAGCAACTGTCTGTTTACTTGAGTCACTCAATGCTGATCTATTTGTCATTGATTGGTACCTTTTCAGGTGAAGGACATCTTACAGAAAGAGCCCGAACTACGGCCCTCTGTTACTGACCTCCTCTACGAAAGAGTCCCTAAGGTACGTTATTCCACAGTTTACAGCACGCCACATTTATACCCAGTTTCCCCATTCTCTCTGTTATAGGAGAAGTGATATATCACATGCTAACTTCGAGTGTCTGTCTGTCTTTTCGTTACAGCTGTTAGCTCGCTATGACGATCCCACGGAAGACGAGCTCAGTAGTTCCATGGAACAAAACATGAGGAAAAAGACAAGGTATCCTTGCGCGTTTGAAATTTGTATTGCGTGACGTCTTATCTAGGTAATTGCGTTACATTTCATTGTATAGTAACTGATTGCGTGACGTTGATTTGTTTGTTCAGGTCTCTATTCTTTTATCTGGACATGACGACAGTCAGTATGTATCCAATAGAAACACCAGTACGAGCACAGCTGGGTGAGGTAAGGGATCAAATAGACAAACCTCTATCTCTCAATCAAGCTTTGTTTAAATCTATTATATCGTTGTTTAAGGTGGCTGTTGGTACATCTCACGTTACCGTGGTAACACTAGAGGGATCGGTGTACACGTGGGGTGATAATGGGTGTGGTCAGCTGGGTCAGGGGGACTTGATCAACAGAGACAAACCAACCTTAGTCGAGTCGCTGAAAGGAAAATCCATCACCAGGTAATGATTGACAGCTGTCACTGATGTCACGATTTTCTACATGAAAGCATATTTTAAAAAAATATCCTTCATTGTACTTGATGTAATTTATGACGTACCCTTTATATGATAATGACGTCATACATGACGTCAAAGTCACTGTCAATGTGTTTTTTCCAGAGTGGCTTGTGGAGATAATTTTAGCGTCTTTGTAACTGACAATGGTATTGTCATGACAACGGGATCGGGCGAACAAGGCTGCTTAGGACACGGTGACTGGACTAGTATCTCACGGCCCAAGCTGATCGAGGGGTTACTAAGCGTTGACGTCACTGCTGTGTCTTGCGGACCACATCACGTGGCTGTGGTGTGTAGTGATGGTCTGGTGTTTACTTGGGGTAAAGGAGCAGATGGAAGACTGGGACTAGGAGATGAAGAGAATCAGTAAGTAAGACGTTCAGTACACTTAACCGAAATATGGCGAACAATTTGAAAAACTATGGTATGCGAACAGTTTTTGTATGATAAGCGAAATTTTCAAGCGGCCATTTTCTTTGACAATTTGGCGCATGCGCGTACGTTTTTCAGCCCTGTCCACGTTTAGTGTTCGTGGTTTCCCTGTGGTGTGTTTGCATCGCAATATAGTATTGTATTAAAGGACACCAATGTAATCGATGACTGTAACTTTCATTTTACAGTTGTGTTCCATGTCAGATATCTTTAGAGGTGCCGGTATCTATACGGGATGTACGGTGTGGTACTGATGGTACGATGTTCCTGACAGACACTGGTGCCCTGTTAGCATGCGGCAGGTAATGGATAATGTATATGGCGATGCCATTAATGGTAGATAATAGTATCGCATGGTAGAAGAGAATCGCGTGCTCTCCGTAACCACCACTGCTGGAAATCTTCTTCAAAGTCGGCGTTTTGTCAGATCATGAAAATTTTGTAAATTACGTTCTGATGATAAGACCACAGATAGATAGGAACTTGCTCGATCCGTTGCGTTGAGGTCGCATCTTTTATTCTAATCTGCGAAGTATCGGGATTTGGTTTCTGAATGTTTTTGTGCCGTCTCAATGTTGAATGTCTGACTCACTTTTTCAATCAATCAATCTCCTTTTGTATCTGCATTGGTTTGGCCAACTAACATCATAAACTATACTTACTACAGCAATGCTAACAACAAACTTGGACTGAACAACAGACAAGGGTTTCTGATGCAGATGAAGAACCTTCTTAACAAAGTAAGTCAATGCGCTATGAAATCACGCATGCTCTGTCTATGCTTATTGGTCGTTAGCGTATTCATGATGGTATTCCTGTGGACGGGCGAAAAGGGTATGTGTGGACGGGCCTCTTAGTAAATGTAAATAAGAGAACCCACTGCTACTCGTGTGAAGCGGGCGCCCATCTTACAAGGCAGCTATGCTACCCAGATATTAGCCTGTTTTCAAACTATTATTTTGCGCATCCCTGTGAAACTCGTCCTATCGATAATAATAGTTAGTGTTTTGTGCAGGTTCAAGTAGAAGTCAAGAAAAACCCCACCGCTGTAAAAGCATTATCTCGTTACCGTGTCATCGACGTAGCCCTGGGACCTACCCACAGTGCAGTGCTGGTGGAACCGGGTCACGTGTATACATTCGGAGCCAATAGCGAAGGTCAGCTTGGGTGTGGTAACACTAAACCACGTGATGCGCCTGCTACAGTTAAACCACTCGAGGAAAAGACTGTTACGGTAGGTAGAACTGATTATATATCATATATATTAGTAGTAGTCCAGGCAGTAGCATGGTAGATTGGGTTTGACGAGCATCGATGATTGGTGATGATGGTGGTGATGATAGTGATGATGGTGATGATGGTGATGATGATGATAGTGGTAATGATAATGATGATAGTGATGATGATAGTGATGATGATGGTGATGATAGTGATGTTGGTGATGATTGTGGTGATGATAGTGATGATGATAGTGATGATGATGGTGATGATAGTGATGTTGGTGATGATTGTGGTGATGATAGTGATGATGGTGATGATAGTGATGATGAAGATGATGAAAATGGTGATGGTGATAATAGTGATGGTGATGATAATTTCGATGCTGATTCTGATAATAATGGTGATGATGTTGAATAACGATAGTGAAAGTTAAGATAAAAGTGATGATGATGATGATGACGTTGATCATGATGAATACTACTCTGATGTTAATATTCTTATCTTTCTTTTTTCAGATGGTTCTGTGTGGTGATGGTTTTACAGTGGTCGGTACAAATGACAACACATTGTTTTACTGGGGGTGTCGTCCATCAAGGCGACAGCGTAAAGCAAGTGAGAATGGTGACAAGACTGATACAGAGACAGCAAGCCTCAAGAAACACAAGCGAAATGCTAGTGGAAGCATGAGTATTGGCAGCTCTGACAGCCTGGATTACTCATCTGGGTAAATGACTGTCATTAATCTTGCCTTCTGATTGGTTAAAAGCTTGTGCCGGTGATCAGACATGAAGCACCAGCCAATTCCCATCCCTCCCTCTCCCTGTCGTGCATTATAGCTCTCATAAGTCAGTGTAATATCATTTCTTTACTATTGTTTCCATAGCAACAACAATGGTCTGGGAAGCAGCCAGACGTTTGCAGTGCGTCGTGATGGTGTACTTGAGTTATCTCAGGGGAGGACAGAGCGAGGACGAAAAGAAGGGGTACAAGAGGGAATGGCGATGCCGTTGTCTCAGAAGAAAAGAAAAGATGCTGTGCATGAAGACAGTACTGGTGCCCTAGACCTCATGGATAGCTGTGCTAGTCTAGCAGACAATACAAATACCAGGTACAAACATTACACAACATAAATGATAAAATCTTGTCTTGATGCTTTGTTTCTAATACTGCGTACTGTTTCTTTAGTCTTGCTCTGTCAGAGTTCGACTTTCAAGACAATAATGGTTCCAAAGAGATCGCCAAGAACTATATCCGTATGTCCTCTCGTAAGGGTCGTCTGAATGGCCAGGTGGGCATGGGCTCTCTCAGGATGCATGATAATGAGCCTGTGTGTACCCCCATCTCTTTATTCCATTGGGACGCTATTTGTGGCATTGATGATAATGACTCTGAATACCCTGTCTATTTACAGGTAATGTCTGTTTACAGCGATTAAGTCATGTTATTGCATGATGATGATGACGATGATTATGCAAGATGATGAAAATAAGTTGATAATGGTGATGAGGGTGATGATTTAATGATGATCATCATAATAGTTATGATTTTGACGGTTGATAAAGATGATGATTATTGTGATGATGATGATGATGGCGATGATGGTGATGGATGATGATGATGGTGATGGATGATGATGGTGATGATGATGATGGATGGTGATGGATGATGATGATGGTGATGGATGATGATGATGGTGATGATGATGAGGATGATGGGGATGATGGTGGTGATGGTGATGATGATTGGGATGATGATGATGATGGGGATGATGATGGTGACGATGGATGATGATGAGGATGATGGGGATGATGTTGGTGACAATGAATGATGATGGAGATGATGATGGATGATGATGATACATGGTGACAAGTTTAATGATTATTGTGATTTATTTGCAGGATATTAGTGGTTATGGAGAGAATATTTTCATTCAAATAGAAACAGCAGCCCCTCCCCCTCGTAAACGATCAAAGAAGAGATCATGTAAGAAAGGAAACGAGAAGAAATCCAGTAAACGAGTCAACGAGAGCCAAAATAGGTAAGGACCAATTCTACCCGCACTATCCCCAACAGTTGTGTTTGTTCACTACTGTACTCAGCATTGTGTTGTGTTATCTCGTTCAGTTCTCGTCTTGGTCCAGCGTTGGATTCATCAGTCGGTTCAAGTTCCTCTGAGATGGAAGCCTTAGGAGAGGTAAGAAATATTCCACCTTTAATTTTGTCTTTAGTTTTAATAATAAAAATAATCTTAACTAAGAATAGAGATGACGCACCTCTGGCCCACACCCTTCCTCTGTAGAAAGCTGTCTTTTGACCAAAGGAGTAAGACAGACGTGAGTGACTCTTTTTCACGGTGCATTGTTTAGGCTCCCACATGGATAAGAAACGAGCTCAAAGAAGGTATAATAGCTTCCGAAGCAGTAGACGACGATGCAGACAGTGAGGAAGAAACAGACAGTGATGGTCGGACAGACAGTGAAATAGAAGATGGGGATGACGGTGAACAGGATAAAAACAAATCTCTTAAGAAAACTGGTAAGTCACGAAACATTGCGTCACACAATATGGATCTGTCACACAATCATGTGTTAACGTAGGCGATGTGTCATAGTGTGATTCGTAACTAAGGGATATGTCACGGTGTCATGCGTAGCGAAGGGATGTGTCACAATGTGTTTCGTAATCAAGGGTTATGTCACGGTGTGATGCATAACGAAGGGATGTGTCTCGGTATGATGTGTAATATAGGGATATTTCACGGTGTGATGCGTAACGAAGGGATGTGTCTCGGTATGATGTGTAATA